AGAATATGTTAATATAACGCGGTTTTCCGCTCTAAAAACTTTCGCACCAGCAGTTTTCTCAAATTTCTTTCTGTCTTAAATGTCCGACGTCTGGTCGTCCCCTTCGACATCGCCATTCGATTATTTCAATTTCTTGATGGAACCTCTTAGGTCTTAATATAATCCCCACGGTTTTCCGGAAAACATTTCAACCCGAGAACAAGAACATGCATCATTAAACACCTCGTTTCCTTAAAACTGTCAATCATCCGAGTGTCCCTTTTTCATTATGAATTTTCAAGTCTCCCGATATTATCCAGTACTCTTTTCTCAGCCTTCTTTTGTTACAGTAGATATGCAGTGCCAGCTCAAACAGTGACAGAAGCCCAATAATAGGCTATATGGAAGGCTACTCGCCGCAGGGACCTATTGAGTTTTGAAGATTAGATGGCTAACAGAAAAAAAGGCTTTAGTGGCGGTCTATAGATTGTCAAAAGTGCGGAAAAAATGGTTTTACAGAAATACTCAATACTTTGCAACAAAATGCCTATATTAGTTTAAAGCATGCAGAATTTTGTCGACGTATTCAGGAGTGTATTTAGCTACGCGGTCGTCCAACACGTTATTAATTTTTTTCTTATTACTTGTCAACAAAATCTTGTGAGAATGTTATCGTTTCATTCTTGATGTAAGACTACATCGTTGAAAAAATTCAGGTTGAAGAAACCATTTCTTCTGGGCGTAACACTTGTTATGTCACTGAGTATATATATATATATATATATTTAAATGGACCAAACAGATGGATAACATGAAGTATTATTTACAATTGAAAACACCCGGGTTTCCAAAAAAATACTTGATGTCCTGGTATCAAAAAAATCTATGTACGCGAAAACTCTCTATCCCCAATAGGATTTTTTATATACTTTCTAACTATTTTTCACATCGCTCTGTAAATTTTGCTCAGTGAAAGATGATCCACAATGTCGTAGATTCTGGCACTCGTCACATTTTGGTCGGCCTCAAGACGCGCCATTCACAGTACGTTACGATCTTGTCAACTTCAGAACGTAAACAATTTTATTTGATTTTCTGAAGTGATAAAAGGATGAATGGTGGCGTAGAAGGAAACAGTTTATTTATATTGACAGTTTATATAGTTGCAGACGATGTAGTGTATATTGCTCCCAAGAGGATCTTCCGGGATTTCAGCAATAAGCATGCTTATTTATGAAAGGACATAACAATGATGATAACAGAAATGGATGTATATACAGGGTGGCGCATCGAAAACGAAACAGACGCATTTAGTGGCAGCTCAGCTTTTTTAAAACGCTCAGACCCGTCGATTTTGTTTTCGAGGGGGACGCAAGTTTGGCCCCTAAGCGGGGGTGACACCACACCCAAAATCTTAAATGGAAAGAGGGGTCGAGTGATACCTTATTTTAAAGGTCTTTCAATTCCCTTTATAATGATATAAAATTAATGTACTTCAGTTCAGTAGTTTTGAAGATTTATTGATTTAGAGCCTAAAATAAAACTAATACATCATGATTAGTGGAGATCAATACATTTGGCAGCAAAGTAATTTAAAAAGGAAGAATGTACTGACCTGTTAGGCAAGTAAATGTTGTTGTTGTTGTTGCCACCATGACTCTCCATGCAATAATAAAGATTTTGCTCAAAACGTTGTAGCACATTTTGCAATATTTGAGGAGTAATTTGAAGGCACTCATTCACAATTCTTTGTCGCAGGTCTTCTAATGATGTTGGCTGAATAGCATAGATTTTGCTTTTTAAATGACCCCACATCAAGAAATCCAAAGGCACCCCTTCTACCAATCCATCGATCTGGAAACGTCTGATCTAAATATTGTCGAACACGTAATGCGTAATCTGGTGGGGCACCATCCTGTTGGAACATCAACCTATTCGCAATGTACCGCCGATCATTCTGATTTTCAATTATGGCTGTTAATGTAGGATCTATGGCGCCTTCCAGTGATTCCAAATACATTTCATCGGTCAAATTTACAGGTAATAAAAAAGGACCAACTAAATGATCGAAAAAAATACCAGCCCAAACATTTAATTTTTGTGGGTGCTGTGTATGAACCTCATGATAAACTCTGGGATTAGAATCGGACCAATATCGGCAGTTATGACAATTTATTACGCCATTTAAGAAAAAGGAGCATTCGTCGGAAAAGCAAGTGTTGAATAGAAAATGATCATCGTTTATAATTCGTTCACTCATATCTTCACAAAATTGTAAACGCCGATCAAAATCGTCTTCATTAAGTTCTTGCACCTGGTGAATTTTATACAGATGAAAACTATGGGCCTTTAGAATCCGTTGGACAGCACGTCGACTAACACCGCACACAGTCTCCAATTTGCGGGTACTTAATGTAGGATCTACATAAACTTGCCCTAAAACCCCCACTTCTATTGCTTCGTTCCTTATGGGATTTTCAATGTTGCGTTTTTTATTGACGACTGACGCAGTTTCCCGAAATTTAGCTACCAGTTCTAGAACATATTTTCGATGCATGTTACTGTTCTCATGTCGCTCACCAAATATTTCTGCTGTTCTATTAGCGCACTGATTTCCGAAAAATATTTCGATAATTTCAACTCTTTCTGCTGTGGAATATATGTACCATAGTTAATTTATGTAATAAAGCGTTACAAGTTATTTTAGCAACAAGGTTTGGTCAAATCAATCGCAAACTATGTACTAAATTCCTATTTAAAATAAGTACGAGATATTTCCTTATCTTTCTTCAAGAAATAACTTTTTTGCCAGAAAAAAACGCTCCAATAGCTATTTTCAACAACAAAATTATAAACAAACCATGGGCGTAATGAAGAAAAGCATTTACTTATTAAATAAGTTCTTTTAGTCAAATTTCTTCTGAAAGTAGTACAAACTAATCTGATGTACCTATTGAAGTCTACTTTAAGCCTTAAATCAATAAATCTCAAAACTACTGAACTGAAGCTCATGTATTTTACATCATTATAAAGGCAATCGAAATACCTTTAAAATAAGGTATCGCTCGACCCCCCTTTCCATTTAACATTTTAGGGTTGGTGTCACCCCCGCCTAGGGGGCTGCACATGCTAAAGTAATTTTTTGCCAAACAAAATCGACCGGTCTGAGCGTTTTTCCAAAAAAAAAACTGAGCTGCCAGTAAATGCGTGTTTCGTTTTCGATGCGCCACCCAATATATTAAGGCACGCGTTTATAGGGTCGCTTCATCCGCAGCATTGGCATTGAAAACATGGTTTCATGCATGATCTGTGCAAAAAGATGACGTCAGGTAGTTTCTCTTACAAACACATATATCAGAGCAATTATATGGATCATGTCAGTCAAATAGGCTCATACAAGGTCTATAAATAGTTCCCACAGATTTGACAATGCTGCGATCTAGCCTACTAAACATAAATTGGGGTTCAATTTTGAAGGGCAAATGTACGGGGAAATCTATGGCGTATGACATACCAGTATCCGTCAAAAAACTGACATATGGTCTTCCCCACCCCTATAACCCACAATATCCAATTTTCAGCCCCTACAAAAGGTTTTCTGGTAATGATCCGGACCGTCTAAAACATCAACAAACGAAGTTGAACGATATTTTTTTTTTTCGTTTTTGGCCTTTTTCTTCGCCGTCATTGTACCGACTTTCAAAAAACTACAAAGCTATACGTGTTTCGCAAGGTTGTGTGAATATTTCATCAAAATCTAAGAACTAGCCGCCAGACAGACAGACAGACAATGGAAATGACTGACGTGTTTATTCGTGATGTACAGGGTTTGTCCGGAAAGTAATAGGACTCATTTTGTTCCGCCATGACTGTACATCGGAGCGTGCACGCACCGACTGGATTCGGTAGAGGGCGTTCCTAGCTAACGAATGTGTGGCTGGTCAGTTGTCTCCGAGTACTTGGAGAGTCAGGACAGGCATTTTCGCGCGACGTGTTTCTGTGAGTGGTGTAAGTCGAAAATGCAGCGTTCGTTAGAGCAGAGGTACGCGATTAGATTTTGTGTGAAACTCAGTAAATCTGCGACAGAGACGTTTGATATGATCAAGCAGGCTTACCCAGGTGTTGCGTTAGCAAGAAGTGGTGTGTTTCGGTGGCACCAGGCCTTTTTGGAGGGTCGGGATGAGGTCGCTGATGAAGACCGTACTGAAAAGACCTTCGACTTCGACAAACACCGATAATGTGACTCGTGTGCGCAAGGTGTTAAACTCAGACCGTCGACTAAGTATTCGTTTAATTGCCCAGATGTTAAATTTACCAAAATCTGTGGTTCATGACATTGTGACACAGCATTTGAACATGCGCAAGGTGTGCGCGAAGATGGTCCCAAAAGTGCTCACTGACGACCCGAAATTGCGGCGAGTGGAAGTGTGCCAAGAAAATTTGAACATGTGTGAAAGTGACCCCCAATTTTTAAATAACGTAATCACAGGTGACGTCGTGGATCTTTGAGTATGATCCCGAGACAAAGAGGCAATCTTCCGAGTGGCACACGACGGCGTCTCCTCGACCAAAAGAGGGAAGAACGATGAGCATTGTCTTTTTTGACATCAAAGAGACGACAGAGGGAATCCAAGCAGCATGCACCGCGGCTCTCAAGGCTATTCCGGAGAATGCCTTCCGTGACGCCTTCAATGCTTGGAAATCGCTGCATCGACGCAGAAGGAGCCTATTTTGAAAGTTTTTAAAGAATTGTAACGATTGGCTCAATATTTTTTTTTAAATCGACTCAGTCCTATTACTTTCCGGACAAACCCTGTACATGTCATACGAGTATAAAATCCAAAATCAAATCCAATTTTTTCGCGATTAGAATGCCTCCTCGCCAGTGGGAAGTAAAAAACGTCCACGAAGTTATCTTTAAAGAGTAGCTTCAGCAGCTAATGGACACACATGCACAGGTCTCAGCTGGTGCACTACCACGAAGCTGTCTCTACGGGTTCCTTCGCAGCCGTCGGCGTCAGTTACAACTTGCTGAGCGTCTCCGGCAACATCCCATTGGTTGTCCCGTTGCGAACGGACCTCTCTCCTATAGGAAATAGCCAATGGCCGTCCAGCGTTGTACAGACTTGCCATCTCTGTCTCCATGGGCTGGTGTTGGTTTGTGAATTCGCTTCGGCTGGAACAAATAGAGAATCTCATTTATAAAAAAACCAAAGGTGTTCTTGAAGTTGACATCTTTCTTTACACAGTAGTTCTTGTAGAAAAGAGTAAAGAAGTTGGCCGTCAAACTTGTAAAACGCAGTGGACGATTCAGGGATCTGTCTAGGGAGTGCAATCCTAGTGGCAGGATTCGAGTTCGTCTGGGAGGGGGGGGGAGGTGATATCGACAATTGAAAGTTGAGGAGCAACGGAGATGCTTTAGTAGCACTTCTAAGGGCGTCTAATTAATGCTTGCACCAAGAGACATCAATGTGTATTTGCGCCTTGTCTAAATAATAATGATGATAATAATAATAATAATGTTTAATGTCCAAACTATAAGCAGATAACTAGAAATGACATATTTTAGAACAATAAACATGGTAGACAACCCGCAGAAGGCTAGCCTTGTATGCGGGTATGGATATTAGCTTATGATTAATTACGTACTACTTAAACTAGGAATAAAAAGACACACGTGATTTTCTAAGAAAAGAACAATAACAACATTAAAATAGGATTTCAAAATACATTATCTGACAAAGTGGGAGTATGGTTGGCTTCATTTAATTATAGATCCTCTTTAAGGCGAAATGTCTCATTTAGGGCACAAAGTCTATCTTAGGTTATTATACTCTAGGCGCTGAAGAAAGAAACTAAACCCAAACAAATACACGCATATTGCTCGTGAGTGAGTGTTTAGGCGCAGGAGACATTACAGGACCGCATCAAGATATTATGGGTAGTCATCAAAAATTTCATACAAGATAATTATTATCTTTTACAGTAAATTTCAGTTAGAGATTCACAAATGAGTTAACTACACTTTTTAGTTATTAGTAAGTAAGCTGCGCGCACTCATTCAGAAGAGGAACTTGAATCTTCTGAATCGTTTAAATGAATTATTAGAGGTTCAATTTGGGTATCGATGACATTGTCCAAATCCCACATTATGACCTCAACCTTCTCCCGAACGTGGCGGATACAGTTTTTCCATTCCTCTGCCGTAACTCTATTGACTGCGATGTGAAAGAGATTTTTAACATCAGAAAATTTATAAGTATTATTATTCGACGCCACGTATTGCTTTATGTTGGCCCAAATCAGCTCAATAGGATTCAGCTCACAATGGTAGGGTGGCAGTCTCAAGACAGTTTTATTTTGTTTTTTGGCCATTTCGTCGATCATTTTAAAATCGTATTTATATTTATGTCTATTGACTATACTTATCAATTCACCCTTTACCATTGTTTCATCAAAATCGATCTCTTTTGAGGCCAGCCATTGTTGTATGTTTGCTTTTTTAGTTGCCATTGTGGGAATTTTTTCTATTTTTCTAGAATGGTACGGGGCATTATCCAGTACAATAACAGCGTTATTCTCCAGCTTTAGTAACATTTTGGAGAACCAATTTTCAAAGGAATTGCCGTCCATCTCCTCATGATAGTCCCCTGTCTTTTTTGATTCAAAGGCCCACAGTGCTTCGGGAACAAAGCCGTCTTCACTACCTACGTGACAAATGATCAGCCGTTTGCCTTTTCCTGGAAATAAATTATTCCTTACACTATGGATTGATTAAATTTGAAGGAATGAGGCAATTGAGTTCATTTAGCTGAATTTAAGAGTCACGGAATGCTGATCAAAAACTGAAAAACGTAGAAAATTGAAGTTTGCAACTTCTCAAAACCCATTCAAAGCAAATTGACTGCACCCAAAAATGATAATAAATTTCAAAATAACGCTTAAAAGAGGGTCGAAGTTTTTTTCCTAATGACTACACTGCGAATGCACCATTTTTGGAGAATATCACACATTATCTGCTATCACAGCATATTATTTGCCCGAATTTATCAAAATTAAATTGCCGGATAGATGAAGGAACTTACCTGCAGGATTTTTCAATCCAGCCGAAAGACCGTCTAGAAAAGCCTGCCTTGATGATGTTACTGATTTGTCGACCCAAACTTTCGCTTGAGTATGTCCAGCATTCACCCACGTTTCGTCCAAATAGCAAATTTTTCTTTTTTCATCGCGAAACTTCCGAATCTTCCTAAGGTATTCCCTTCTCCACACAACAATTTCTTCTTTCTCTATTAACATACTGTTTCTTCCCCGTTTCAAGAATCGAAAATTAAGTTCCTGCAAAAGTTTTCGGAATGTGGTTCTTTTAAATGATGGAAGATCCTCATCAGCATTAACTAATCTTAATATCTTATCTACTGTAGGTATCTCATTTCGGAAGAAAAAATTATGCACTTTCCTCCTGATGGCAGTTCTGTCAAAGTCATCTACTCCGTCCGTTATCCTTTTTCTTGCAGGATACGGTTTTGGCTCAGAAAGTGAGTGAGTGCTCCTATATTCCTTAATGATCCTATAAACACTGGACCGACATACTCCTTACATATAACTTCGTCCACGACCAAATCGGGTTTTTCTTGAATTTGGTTTTTGTATATATTTAATATTATTTGTTTTTCATTTGCACTTAAATGTAGCTTCTTAGCCCTTTTTTTGGGTGGGGTTGCGCTGATGTCAACCACTTCGTCGGCTGTATCTGTGTCAGACATCGTATCTTAGGCAATATATAAACAAAACGTTCCACTCGCGAAAAACGAGTATACGCTACTGAATGCGTAATGCGTATGCAATGCAATCCTGTGCGTGAATTAACTGTTAGATGCCTGTCGTGTCATCTACAATCACGTTTACAAGTCCAAACCTGTGCAGATTCGTAGAGCGCCGACGACTGCTAGTGACCTTGAATTTGTCTGTAGATCGATGTTACTCCAGTCAATTTAGGTTCAAAGTGGATGTTTTCTAAACCAATTTGTTGTTCCTACATCAAAAATATATCGATGATGTTTTGTACTGGGAGCTCATGAAAGATCAAGGTAACTTATTTTAACAGTCATCCTTTTTCTAGTCTCAAGATGACACGAAAAAGGGTCTGTGGATTCACTAGAAATACACTGCCGAGTATGTTTAGACCTAAAGTGACTGGAGTATATCCGTGGATGCTTTCGAGGGATCTGTTCACGTGCTGATCACTGTTTACGTTTAATGTCTTTCTTCAGCGCCCAGAGTTTAGTGTTTGTGTTTTCTGTTCTATGTTTGGGGGATATATCGAATATGTTGTCAAAATCTGTAAATAAGTATACCATGGATATATTGTCTAAATCGGTAGTGTTGGGTATAGGGTATTTTGTCTAATTCGGTGACTTTATTCTAGTAATTGGTTTTCATGTTAAGTGTAATCTTTTTAGGTCAGCGATTTCGCGAATTCTCTGTCTGAGCATAGATGTTATTCAGCCTTTTACTTCCCTTTTAAATGTGTGTTAGGAACGTATCATCTTCAGGTCTTCCGGAAGAAGATTGTAACATCTTGGTCCTAGGTAAGAATACGATCTGAGCATTATATTTTGTTCTGGTTTTGGCATCTTTAAATAATTCCTGTTTCTTGTTTGATAAGAATAATGGTTCTTGGTTGGGAGGACGGGATATGTGTTGCACTATCAAAACTTTTAGTAGGTATAATTATCTTATGTCTAATATACCAGTTTCTTTATAGAGATGGTCAGTTGGATACATTCGGGGCTTATGAGATATTGTCTTTAAAATACTTTTTTGAGTTATTTCTAATTTGAATATATGCTGCTTCCCATGCTATTATACCATAATTTATGTGAGATTCTGCCAATGCATGATATAGTATTTTTAATTAACAATACTCTAGTATGTTTTTAATTCTTCTTATTCGATATAGAACGGATTGCAACTTTTTGGCGACATACGTTATATGCATATCCCACCTGAGGTGTGCATCTATGTAAATTCCTAAATATTTTATACCATTTACTTTATTTATTTTACATTTACTATCCCCAGTGTTTTTATTTGTTGATAACTTATTATCAAACCAGTCCTTGATTGTACAAAGATCATTTTGTGCTACGTACTCGACAGTCGCAATTTTTACCGTATGAGTTCTATCAGAGATGTAAGATTCCAATAGGTAATATTATGTACCTCTAAATCCTATGTTTTGAAGGGTATCTAGGAGTCCAGCGCGACTAACTGTATCGAAAGCTTTTTACAAGTCAATAAAAATTCCGATGCAAGGTATACTAAGTGACATATAAATCCGAACACCCAGTTTAAATGGTTTTATTTTAATAAAAGTTGGTGAATGTATTTATCTTACTGTAAATAACAAGTGAAAAAATTTTCAGCCTTATCAGTTGGACATTCCGGTTTTTATACTGCTTTTTTTTAATTCACTAACGCTCTAAAAATGAATATTTCAGCCGCAGTAAAGAATCAACGTTGGCGGATTTTGGTTCTTGACATCCTTTACGATCGGTTACGATGCCTAGAGTACGGAGACCTGTACGATTTCGTCAACTTAGTGAGTTTGATAGGGGCCGTATAGTGGGACTTCGGGAAGCTGGACTTTCTTTTCGGGCAGTTGCAGTTAGAGTGCAAAGAAGTGTAGACACTGTGGTTAGGTGTTGTCAGGCATGGCTTCGAGAAGGCCGTACGCAAAGAGCAAGGGGCACTGGACGCCGCCGTAGAACAACAGACCGTGAAGATCGCCGCCTAAGATTATTGGCCTTAAGGGACCGCTTCTCCACTACCAGGTCCATTGCAAATGAATGGTTTGCAGAACACGGAAGACCTATTGGCATGCGAAGGGTTTACCGACGAATGAGAAGTTTTGGCTTGTTTTCATACCGGCCACACTGGGTCCTCCATTTAACTCGAGGACACCGACGTAATCGCCTTGGGTGGTGCAGACAACGGTCGCTCTGGGATCAGGAATGGAACAGTATTGTCTTTAGTGACGAGTCTCGATTTTGTTTAGGCATACACGATGGTCGTGCCAGGGTTAGAAGGCGACGTGGTGAAAGGAGGAATCCACAGTTTTTTGTTGAAAGACATGTTCATCACACTGTTGGAGTTATGGTTTGGGGTCCTATAGCTTATGGTTCCAGGTTTTATCATTTACTTATTATGCTTCATTAAGTACTTATACAAAATTTTATTAAAATAAAACCATTTAAACTGGGTGTTCGGATTTATATGTCACTTAGTATAGTTATTTATGCGATTTAACTTAGAATTTTCTCGAAGATTTTGGAGATATTATATAATAAAAAAGTGTTTCTTTTAAGATGGTCATCCGCCGAGTCCATTATAAGCGGGTTGCACTGTATTATAGATGGCTTGCAATACTCTTCAGTATCTTGTGAACATAACCTGGTAGCACCGATAGTTGACTTGTGTTAACATAGTATTTTTTTCATGTTTTTGTTTTTTTTCACTTAATTTCCATCGCTGTATTATTTTTCCCTGTATAGTGTGGCTTTGAGCATATAAGATGCATCTAAGATTTGGACATTTCTTTGAACCAAAAGCTTCCATTTAATCATCTGAGCTCGTATAGCTTGTTCGCAGGCTTTGACGGATAGTAGTTATCATTCAAATATTATGACACCGTATATCTCCATTTTCCTCAGATGCACATAAACGCATTTTCCACCTTTTGTGTGATGTGCCGTTGTGCGCTTTTCCGCTCTCTCATCTCCAACAGAAAATTTGCCATTGTGAACGTATATTCTTCAACTGAGCCTGCCCCAGTCAGCTTGAAAGATTACTTGTCATGAGCACGCGGTAGCGGTTTGATTTATTTTTTCGTATGTTTTCTATGCAAATTCACTTGTAACAGAAACTTCGTCAGTCACTCCCGAACCTCTGAACATCGTGTCTTTACTGCATAAGTCTGGATTCCCAGTCCATTGCTTCAATTTCTGGACTGATCCGAGACTACTTTAATTTCCAATTCTTTTACCTTTTACTTGTCTTTCTATAGGAGAACCTGGCAATGTGATAGAGTCATAGCTCCATTGAAACAGTTACTTTGCACAGAGCGTTGCCTCTTCTGTTCTTCAAGTAATCCAAAAAACAGTTAATGAAAGTCAAGTTAGAAGAGACTAAATTTTATTCATAATAGGATTCCAGAAATAAAATATATAAGCACTGATGAAGAACTGAAGTAACGATGACAAATGAAAATTTAACTTTGTAAAACTAATAAAAGATCAGTTCATTGCGATGGAGTTAAAGGGAACGGTGAAAACTTAATTTACAATATCTTTAGGTTTGAATTTATTAGCAAAATTTAATGAATTTAAGAACCTCAACTCAAGAATAATGCTAATTAATCAAGGTAATGTGTAGAATCCTTAGTTAATTCGTCTAACACTGAGGCCACAATTCGAGATGTCCTCTTCAATAGTTATAAAAATTTTACATAAAATTTAGGTAAAACTAACGGTGACTGACTTCAGAAATTTGAATGTGCTTAGCAAAACTAAGCTTTGCTAGAACCACCCAGTCTTTCGTTAGTTTCACCTACTCCCCTCTAATGATAATTTCCAAACCGCATCGGTCAACGAAGGTAGAATCGTCGACAACATCCTTCCATTTCTGCTAGCCATCCTGTGACCACGAAGAGAGGGGTGATTCTAAGCAACGGCTACCCAAGAAGAATGGTAGAAGAAGCTTTGCGGGAGGATACTACAATCAGAAGAAACACGCTGGATGAACATACCATACGTAAAAGAACTGTAGTGATTATTTTGCCTTTGACATTGTTGAGTTCAGACATCAAGGTCGATACATGAGACAACCTGAAATTTCAATGGATCGAAGAATTTCAACGAAACTCAAAAAATTTCACAGGTAGTGCCCCTGGCATTGATCACTTATTTGACCTTGAAGATCGTATTGAATGTAATAACAAATACCGCATGCGTCTGTGAGAACAAGTGTTGCCATGCCTCTCTTTGATTGTTTCTACAACCCTGACTATAACTCTGGCCTTGAAAGTCATCTAAAAGCCTGCAATCATGATGGAAAAATAGCAAAACGCGCACGCACCTGCAAGAATCTGTGTTGCTATGACTGTTGCTATGACGAAGAGAGGATCTGCGTGATAAGGCGGAGTAACACCTACCTAAGGCGTTTGGAGATGTGTGATTGTGACAGCGCCGTTTGTGATCGTGGTGGCTGCGACTGCTTCCGCAGAAATGCTTGTATGTCGCCTGAAACAGAAAGAAAGTTGTTAGAGTCAGAGTCCTCAAAACTTGGGTTTTTATGCGCCATCAATTAGGAAAATAGAAATACTATAATGTGTGTGTAGTTTCAATCTCCCACCTCAATATCTCAAAAACTAAGCATCATAGAAACGAGTTGAACCAAAACCAGAAGCGTTTTGAGGAGACAAAATGATGGTGACCTTGACAGTCACCTTGACCACGACCTTCTAGGTCATTTCAAGGTCAAATGAAAATGTGACATTAAACATTACCAACACCATGACCTTGACTGTTTTCTTCAAGGTCGTTTCAAGGTCTCGCCAAGATGTTCGACAGCACGGTTTTGAGGTTTGTAGAGATCATTCAAATGTGACCTTGATCGTTACCTTGACCATTTGGCTTGACAATGAAGGTCACGTTCGCTTTTAGGTGATCTCCACAAACCTCACAATTGTGCTGTCGAAAATGTTTGCTGAAAGAAACTGTTTTTGATGTCTTGATTTGTTCATGGTCAAGGTGACATGCGGAGGTAAGGTTTTCTCCTATTTTCAATTCTCACGTGATTAAAGGGGGTTCCGTTTGACAATATATACTTGACCTTGGACTGACCTTGGACGTCGCGGTAAAAGTCACTGTCAAGGTCACCATAATGTTGCCCACTCGAAACACTGTATGATTTGTTTGAAACTTTTTTTCTTGAATACGCAGTTTTCGAGATACTGATCATCCAACGAGGGCGAAGTGGATACATTACTATTTTTCAGGCAGAAATCTTTGCGATTCTAGCTTGTGTATCCCGCATTCTGGAGGGGGAGGGCCTAGGAGAAGAATAACAATCTTCTTCGTCAGCCAGGCTGCATTGAAGGCACTATGTGGTTGTAAGATTACTTCCAGCCTTGTATTGCAATCGCGGGAGGCTCTGGATTATCTAACAGTGAGGCATCCGGTATCGTTAGTGTTAGAACGTTAAGAAGCTGAGACTCAAGGTCATACTCAACTTTGCTAGAAGGGCGAAGCTTGTGGTTTAGGGCCCGTCTAAGTGGCGTATGCGCCGGCTCCTCACGATGGCCGGTGTGCCTCTAATTTCATAATTCATTCACTCAGCCCCAGGTTAGCAATTTAGGTTACTGAATACTTATTCATTATTCTCTTTATTTCAGTAAAGCCCAGAAGGAACGAAAAGTTATCCAGGACAATCGCATTTTCTGAAACACAACTTCCCCTCCTACCATTTCTCATTCCCCGAAACCTCATTAAGTTGTTCCATAAGGTAAAAGAAACTCTTCAGAATTGAAATTACCCTCAGGGATATATTATTACAGGTATATCCACCCTCATGTTCATGCTTGTACTAAGCCAGACATTGCATTCTCGTGAAATTTTAAGGGCAACATAAGTGATACTTATGAGTTTTTAATGAGTCTAATATGCAATATCAGCAAGCAGTTAATAAGTCGACAGTGACTGTACTCTGCGATAATACAATATTAAATAGGAAGTCACGGAAATTGTTTGTTTCACACGTGTCCCCAAAACGCGTTAGGCTGGGTGCATACATTCGTTTTCCGGTTTCCTAATCAGGAATTCCAATTCAGAATTCCGTGAGCCTTGCACAAACGTTCAATTTTTTGGAGTTAATATTATACTACTACATGGAGATCGACGATTTAATTGCGATTGCACTTCTATTATCATTAACAAAAAAAAAGAAACGTCGGGATTGGGTGCATCCGTTAAACACTATACGAGAATCCATTTTATCTAAAAAGAGCAAAGTTACCAGCACATAAATTCTTTCATTTCTACACGATGTCAATACAATCTCGATCAACTTCATAATGGCATACGTGATAAATTGAGGAAGCAAGATACCTGGATGAGACTATCTCTGGATACACAACATAGATCTACAAACCGAGGCCGAAGCATAAGGGACGAGTTTGCTCAGTACTTCATGAGCCGGCAGGAGAAATATCATATCTATATAACGGAAGGATTACCAATTTACAACAATAAAAGTACAGTCTTTGTAATAAAAGTGAAAGAAAAGCAATTTTACTCTTGTATTCTGTTTCTACCTTTGTGCACGAGTTGCAATCCTGTATAACCTGTTTGAAAACTTTTGACGCCATTTGGTAATTCAATAACTCTATTTCTCAGTTTTCTTTAAATGCAACTGTGTACAGAGTCACATTTCATTTGGGTGTGTCGTTTGGTGAGATACTTCTGAGAAATCACATCGACGTGTTTCATTGCAAAGTTAAGAAAAATAGCACGCGTAATTGTCAGATAGCTAGAATTGTCGCTCATTGACAGACGTGTTGCCACTGGTAGGTATTGTTTTGGCTGAATAATTCAAAAACTAAATTTTTCTGCAGTTAGCGGACTCTATCACAATGTGCGCTGTAGGTAGACGAAGAAAAATGTGCATATACCTCAAATTGGGTTAAAATGTCAGACAGCAGATACTGTCAGATGTCCGACGATAAGATATAAAAGTGAATAAGAAAGGTAACAGTTGAAATTGACATATTGGTTATCTCAGTTATGACTATCATAGGCCGTATTGTCAGAATTACACATATTTGTCGTTTATCAGGTTATCTGAGAAGTACTCACCAAACAGTAATATACTTTACTTTTCATTAGCGCCTCAAGTTCACCTTTGAAAATACGATCGGGGGTAGAACTCAACAATTAGTCGAAACCGGTTGTAGAATACTGTGTTTTGGAAGTTAGCAACATAGGGATAATTTGGAACTCAGACTTCCTGTAGGCCATCAATAGATTCTTAAGTATAGCAAATTCCTGTTTTAGGTAAATGAGTTGATTTTTTGTAGCCTATTGTAGCGAGCGCACTAGACAGTTGACAACAGATTCCATCATCTACGCAACATGATACACCCAAGACGCGAATTTTGGGGGAGATCGGAGATATGAATTATCAAATGTTTCCATTAATTAAAAATATACCAAATACATGACATAAAAAATGCAACACCGACTAGGAGTGCTGTAATTTGGAGCGCACTTTTACAAGTTTTAGGTCTTCTGATTACCTAATAGATTCCCCAGATTACGATTCGAACTCGAAATTTCGCAAAATAGCTGTTATATCCCACCATAATGTTAAATAATAATTTTAAAAATTCAATAAATAATTCTAGGAGCTGAATTTTATATGTCACTGATATAAAACAAATGACCAACAACGCCGTTCAAAAAATAAGTGTCATAGAATCTGGTGTCTCCGGAGGTCTAATTAAGCCCCATTAACACTGAGGGGCATTAATCGCCTTTGCCCCCTTCCACGAATAATTAAGCTTTTAACGGAGTTTATAAGCCTTTACGTCGAACTTCCTACTATACAAGGTTAACAAGATGTTTTTCGTCATACTAATAATATAAAAAGTCGCACTTACTCAAGAACTTATAGCAATGTTCACACTTATGCGCTTCCTTTCATCTTCAAAGTGAACATGACCTTCATTTGACCTTGTGAAGGTAATAATCAAAGACAAGGAAACTTGTGCCATTGAAAAGCGGACTCTGAGAATTCGTATCAGATCTATCACAGATTTGATATCTAAAACTCATTTTGCCCTTAAATTGACCTTACTACAAGGTGTTTTAATGAAATACTTCTTTCAGTAAACCGATCCTCCGAGTGTTTTTCCTGACAACCACAATCGGCGCATTCACCATTTTTGCTTATCTGACAAACTTTATCCCACTATTCCTCAGAAACTTATTGTAGGACTGCTTTGATCCAAACAGAACTTTTGATCAGAAAGGTGAGATATGTATCATACTGAATGACTGGAATACATTTTCCACATTGTACGTAATTCCCCCAAAAGTTACAACAGATACACTGTTGCCAAATGTAAGTTTATCTTGGCTGTCGACCCCAGGGAAACTGACAACGGACTCATAATCTACGTTTTCGACACATGAAGAAATGTAAGAAAAATTGCCTTCGAAGTTACGTGCTTGAAATTATTGTTCAAATAAAGACAACTAATTTTTGGAGGCAACGACCTCTTCGCACTTGTTTACAAAATGCTTTTCGGTAAACACCCTGTAATTGACGTGAAAACGTAAATGGTAATGACCCTGGAAAATATGAATTATTCCGAGAATGAGCCTGAATACAATTTCGTGACAATCAAATATTCCAAACTCGCGAAATTACCGCGCTTCGTTAAAATCTGAAAATCTCCTTTAATTCTCTCATGAACGCGCGTATCAGCAAAATTTTACCTTGCGCCTAATGCCCATAGTTACCAGTTGGCAGTGATTACTCGGAATATCTGATGAAATGATGAAGGTAAATATTGACCCAAAAGTAGTCTCCAAGGGATTCCTAACAACTAAACTGATAAAAGATCAATACTCTTTGAGCTCGTGCGACATTGCTAGAATCCCGGACGATCCATATTTTTGCATAAAACACCGAAAAAACTGTGTCCCGGAAGCTGTAAATTTTATTGTTCCCCTTGTTTGCTAGCACTCACACAAATATCATACCAATTTGTATGAGAATGTGAGATAATGTAACCAAGAGAAAAGTATTTTATTCGTTTTCCGTTCTCAACGTTTCTAGCTACATAAGATTAGCGTCGAAATAGCGGCTGGATTTTTCTGGCGAAAAATAACACTCCTAAGATCAGCATCCATAAAAAACCGTCTAAACGGCTACTGGGTAACAGTAACGCAAGAATTTGATGATTTAGATACCGTTTTTGTTTTAACGCGGTATAAATAATATTTGAATAGGCTTCAGTCATGCCAAATTGCCCTGGAACGAGATTTGCCTGAAAGTAATGTTATCCCAACACCCCCTCCTTCTACCCATGAGTTGAGGCCTGAAGAGCGGAATCTTTAAGCTCTTGAAAAAATATTTCAAATAGTAATAATAATAATAACAATAATAATATGGATCATCTTATTTCATTGATAACAACGTACAAAGATATGAAAGTTCAGCTTTCATTGCAAGTTGA